ACGATGTAGGATTTCTTTCCAGATCTTGGATTTGGGTTTTATCTTTCATTTTACTTTCATTCAGTGTGAGATTTTTATTAGGAGTCCACTAGAGATGGATTCCCGAGTTGTTCAAATTATGGATATTTGGTTTATCAAATTTAAGTATTTAATTATTTAAGGATTATCTTTTAGTTTCTTTTCAGCTTTAAACTTTCATTTCTTAATTCATTTTGTATTCCGTGTTCGTTATAAAATATTAATTGTTTGATATTCCCTCGGGTTTGGGCCTGGGCCTGATCAACCCGTGTCTCGGATCCGAGGGGTATCACAAACACCATCAAGATAGCGTAAGGAACTCCAGTATGAAATTGTATTTTGAAAATGGTTGTTTAGTATTTAAAAATTGAACTGGAGGTCAATAGGGCTGACTTGAATGGTAAGTTTTAAATTGACATGATTATTGCCTTGTTACCAAAGTGGTTCGGTTTTTCCAGAGTGAACTAAATAAGGAATCAGTTTGAGTTCACACTCGTTGATATTCTTATAGAATTGGTAACAGATATAGGAATAATCAAAAGTATAAGCAATCCTATTAATCTAACCTAGTCTATATCATCTTCTTCTAGGCCCAAGTGGAAGGGCAAAGTAAAGAAGAAGGATGATAATAGGACTAGGCTAGCACAAAACATGGGTATTCAAAAAGGTTAAAGGAAATAAGGCTGTGTATGTTGAGGGGGAAGAAATCTGTTTCTTTTGTCGCTAACTAAGACACTAAAGGACGAATTGTCTAAGCAATGACGTAGCATAGGAAAATGTATATTTAATCATTGAGCCATGTTATGTGGTTGTATCTATTAATTCCTGATGGATAGATTCTGGAGCCACTAAACATGTTTGCAATTGTTGCAAGGATTTCAGAAATCCAGAAGCCTCGATAATATGGATATATATTTATACTTGACCTGATGTCAAGGTTGTAGCTAAGTCAGTGGGAGTATTACATCTGAAATTAGAGAGTATGAGGATATTAGTATTGGAGAATTATCTTTATGCACAGAAGTTAGACGCAATCTAGTTCATGTTTCACTTGTGGTTTATAAAACTGTATTGTTATTTTGTAAAACTGGTTTTATAAAATTGAATAGATATGCGATTGCTTCTGGTGCATTGAAAGATGGTTAATATACTATAATCACAAGCTCTTAAGATTTGCAGGATGTAGAAACTAATGTTACATCTTCTAGATTGAAGGTTAAGAGAAAATTTGTTATTCTTGACTCATTGTATTTTCAATGTCTATTTTTGGGTTGTTATCAATCAAAATGAGATTCAAAGATTGGTCAAAGAAGGTTTATTACCTAGTGAGGCAGAGGAGTCTAAACCAAACTTGTGAATCCTGTTTTGAATGATAGATAACTCTAAGGGCTTAATCAGCCAAATGAAATAGACATAAAGGACAATTGGAGTCGGTACACACAGACACGTGTGGTCTTATGAACATCCAAGCAAGATTACTCACGTTTTGGATAAATTTGTCTGATGCGACACGAGTCTTAAACTTTTGGTACATTCTGAAAGTGTCAAGACTGATGTGGAGCACAGATTAGGTAAGCTTATCAAAACAATCCGATTTGATCGTGGAGATGAGTATTTCTTGGGATAGTGCAAAGACTATATGGTCAATGAGGGTGTGGTGTACCAGGTTTTTCGCAATTGACGCTAAATGGATTTAGGTGTCAAATAGGAATAACAGAATTCCGCTTAACATGGTTAGATCTATGATCTGTTATGCTTTATTATCTCTTTCATTTAAGAGTTTAGCGTTAATGACATCGATGCATATTATGAACTGCATTCCATCTTAGTATGTGTCAAGAATACCGTTGAGCTTTGTTTTTGACTAAATCTTAGATTGAATTACATGCACATATGGGGTAGTCTTACACATGTGCGCTTGATATGGACAAGTAAGTTGGAAACAGATCATACGCATGATAGATTTGATAGCTACTCTAAAAGTCACTAGGACATATTATTTTATGATCTCAAGATAAAAGTTGATTATTTTCACTCACTGTTTATCTATAGAAGAATCATATTATGAATCACATATCTAGTAACATAATGTTAAAGAATTTGGTATGAGTACCAGATGTACCACATGTGAACACACTTATTATAGAGATTGAGAATAATATATGAATTCCCTATTGATGCGTTAGCATCATCTAGTACACAGATTCTTGCATCGGTACATTGATGTAGTGGGAGAATTATCATCCAATCTGACAGAATCATGTTTTTAGGTGAGACCATTATGGACATCCTTGTTAAACATGAGTTGGACCCAGTAAGCTACACGGAAGCGTGAACCGATATGGATACAGATCGTTTTGGCGAGTTACTATGAAATCAGAGTTGGAATCTATGTATTCTAATAAATTCTGGGATCTTGTAGAACTTTCTAATAGGGTGATTCATATGGAAGGCAAGTTAATCTATAAAAAGATACCAGAAGATTTCTTAGTGAATAAATCATGAGTGTATAAGGGAATGTCATTATTTTTTTTTCTTAATTCTATATATTGATGACATTCTACTCATTTATAATGACGTGGAAGTTTTGTCATCAATAAAAAGGTAATTGTTCAATTACTTTTAAATGAAAGATTTTCAAGATGTAAACTATATTCCTAAGATCAAGCTTTTGCAAGATCAGGTTAAAAGGAAAATAGGCTTATCTTAATAATCCTACATTGATAAAGTTTTGACTATGTTTGGTATGCATAACTCAAAGAATGAGTTCTTACTTTATTGATATGGATTGCTCTCTCTAATAAGTAGTTTTCCAAGACTAGCAGAAGAGATTGAGCAAATGAGACTGGAACTATATGCTTTGGCATATGGGGGTCTCATATATGCCATGGTCTATACCGAACAGGACATCCGCTACATTGTAGGGATAGTCAGATGATATCAGTCCAATCCTGGACTTGATAACTGGTCTGTTGTAAAAAATATCATTAAGTACCTAAGGAGAACCAATGATATCATACTCATTTATGGATGTGATGATATGGTCCTAGTCAGGTATGCTAGTTCTGATTTTCAATCAGAAGTAAATACTATGAGGTTCATGACTTAGTGTATGTTCACTTAATGAAAGGGAAATCAATTGGTAGATTGTTAAGCAGATTTCAACTACTGACTCAAACCTGCAGGTGGAATATATTGCAGCCTTAAAGGCGGCAAAGGAAGCCTATTGGTTTGATCTCACTGATTTAGAGGTTGTGGAGTATACTAGCCTGCATATTGAGCTATGTTGTGACGTGCAGAAGTAGTCCAAACCAATGACCCAAGGTTCTATAGAGGAACAAGATACAATGAGAGGAAGTATCATGTTCTACATGATATTGTCCGGCAAGAAAATGTACTTGTAGCTAGAACATTGCATTGGAACACAACTTTGTTGATCCATTATCAAAGGTGTCATTGATCAATAATTTTGATCATCATCTGGATAACATTGGAGTTATGTGCAATTTGAATTGGCTATGAGGGCAAGTGGGAGCTGTTGGGATTTATATGCCCTGGCATAGCAAATTCCTGTTTGGATTAAGTGACATATGTTCCTGATGTTTCTGAAATATTTATGTTTTATACAATTGGTGAATTCAATGTATTATATTTCAATTCATTATAGAATTGATAGTGTCCATTTGATTACAAGAGATATTTATATATATGTATGTGATGGCAATCAATGCATGATATATAAATAGTAATCATAAATTGTTCATAGTCAGTAATTATGGATGGACTCATAATTAATTAAGACTTGAATTGGATCCGCGTTAGGTTGAGATATATTGCGAGAGCCGTATGCAATTGCTCCCTATCACCGTCATGGCATTTGACTCTTAAGCATGAGAAAAGTATAAACTCTTTTATTAATTAATAATTACTTTGATTTGTTCGGCGGATTCTTCGGAATCCTTAGACCGACACTTTGGGTAGTTATGTAATTAATAGTTAGAGGGTTATATTTTCAATATTTGCATCATTGCTACTTGTATTTATTTTGTATTGATTATGGTTGATCACAAAGTAAATTCGAAGGCCTTCGTGTGTTTTTAGACAAAATGATTTATTATATATTTATTTATTTAAATTATTATTTTTGTCAAACAAATGTTTTATTGTGATCGAGCCAGAAATAATCAAAGGTACCAAAATAAATATATTAATTAAGTAGTCGGATTGATTGCTTTATTTATCCGATAACTAATTATGCATAGAGGAGTCAAAGTGTAATATTGACTTAGAGGTTATTTATTATTTAATTGGAATTCAATTAATTTCTTTTAGTGGAGTACAAATTAATTTATGAATTAATTGAATTGGGTCCATGGATCGGGTCAATTATTAATTAATTGTAGCCAATAAAATAACAGGCCCAATGGATTCTCACTCATAGCCCAACTTAATATTGGAATCATATTAGATTTGAGACATGTAAATTAGAGATTGAGAAGGTTTTGTTGTTTCTTTTTCTTTACATTTATATTGCCTATAAATATACTTGGTTTATGTATATTTTGGTGATGATTTTTAGAAGAAGAAAAAAGGAATTTATTTTCTCTCTCTAGAAAATTAGGGTTTATGTTCTCATCTAATGGAGGCTCCCACAAGCCTAGTTTTCCAAGGTCAATCATGGAGGCTTATGAGTGATTCCTAAAGGCAAAACAATTACCAAGAAGATGGAGATCCAAAGAGAAGGCATCTTGCTAAGGGATTTACAATAAGTGAGAACATTCACTTTAGAGGAAATATTTAAAGGTTTACTCAGATCTTTGATGTAAGTATTTAATCCATTAATTAAATGATACATCATATTTTTATTTTTGCATAAAACTTGTCTCTATGTGATGAATCAAGATTTATGAATCAAAATCCCTCGAAAAATTTTTAAAACTTGCACGTTTCCCAACACTAAGTTGATCTGATTTAAGCAGAAATAATGGAAAGAAGCTTATGCTCATAATCAACACATATAAATTGATACATTTTTTCATGATCAGAACATACGATAGTGAACTTTATTTCTTCTTCTAGTAAGCTAGGTAAGCAAGTATACTGAAAATGGAAACTGTACAAACAAGGGCAAGCCCCCAACTAGCTCGAACGAAAGCATCTTCAACAACAGCTTACAAGCTTAAGGTTCTATTGCTTCTTTTATTTCTGTTTTTTTATTTTCCGCACACTAAAACTCAAGCAACTAATTTGTGCATTATGCAGATACTGCAATATTCTACTCCTGAAGAACAACTAACACACACACATAGCGTGTGAGTTTCTTAAAAAGACGAAATATCTTCATATATTATCTACTTTTCTGGAAGTTCTGGCATCCATTGGTAGGCCAAATCAATTGCATCATGTTGACACAAAAAATATGGATGCAAAAGTTGATCTCCTTCAACAAATAGTGATGAAAGATCATTAATCTGGTTGTAGGATGTGTCAGCCAAAAAAGGTTCCGTCCAGAAATTTCCAATAGGTTCTGCAAATGATTGGGGCGGAGTGTTGGTTTCTTCTTTTGCCCAGCTCATGCCACTTAGAAATGCATAATCAGAGCTCAAGGAGGAGTACTCACTGCAAGATTGTTGTGGAGACAGTTGGGAGCTGACTGAAGTAGTTTGCTGCGACAATGGAGCAGCAACGAAAACATTTTCAAGTGTCGATTCTCTAGATCTCCCTTTGTTGGTCTCACATTCTGAAGATTCAGTGGATTGATCTTTCAAGTACCCTTCGGATTCGGTTACACCGGATTGATCTTCCCCTTCAGACGACACTTGATTTTTCTTCGCGCGTTTCTTCAGGTTGGTGTGCCAATGGTTCTTTATTCCATTGTCAGTCCTTCCAGGTAGTTTTGCAGCAATGACTGACCATCTGCATATGGATGAGAGTAATTTATTAGTATTTTTTCCTCTAAATTTTTATCATAATTTTATTCATTTAAATCTTTTCGATCATCATATATATATATATATATATTAATCTTTGATGTATTGATTTCTGAAGCTTGATCTGAACTATATAGTTTACACTAGGACTATAGCAATACATTTGAAATAAAACAGAATATATATATATATATATATACACACACACACACACACACACATGAGGATAGCATATGATGATAATAACAAACTTATGATGCAAAAAAATCCTTAGTTCGATGGATCTACAACACCTTCCTGATCATAGATATATATATATATATATATATATATATATATATATATAATACATAAGATAATTATAGGGACCACCCACATGCTAGATGTGAGGAAGAGCAGTACAGATATAAATGAAGTTGTACAATGTAAGTTAAGTGTTTGCAAAGGTTAGTTGTTAACAGTAGTAGCTACGTACTTATTTCCAAGCTGGTCGTGTAATTTAATGATCATATCCTCTTCTTCTTTGCTGTAATCCCCTTGTTTCAGATTCGATTGCAGGTAATTCATCCACCGCAATCTGCAACTCTTCCCACATCTCGATAGGCCTGAAATTATAGTCCGTTAGCATATATATATATATATAATTACATTAATTTACTATTCTGTACCTTAATTTGCCCTATTCATCGATCTCTCGCTTTTCAAATACCTTGAATTGTAAAGCTGCCATTGATGGTGGTGAGTGAATTGTTGTGTCATTTTGAAAGTGGTTAAAGAAACCATAGACAAATGAATTAGGAAAAACTTGAATTTTATATAATGTGTTTCATTCATCAAATATCTACCATTTTTTCATCAACAGAAGAGAAATAAGAAGAAGAAGAAAGAAGTGTTCGATCATATATACCAGCAAACTTGGGTAGGTGACGCCAGTTCCAGTGACCATATCTCTGAATGTAAGCTCTCAATTTGTTGTCTTCTTCAACACTCCATGCACCTTTCTTCATTCCATTTTTTTCATAGCAAGAAGTTCTCACCATCTTCGAGCTCTCTCTCTCTGTCTCTCTATCTATCTCACTTTCTCTCTCTAAAGCACAAGTTCTGAATTACCTTTTAGGCATTACCTTTTACAAAGTTCACTCTTATTTATACTACTGACTGTTCAAACCAAAAACGTGTTTCAAAGACAGATCTGTGCTACCTACCTATTACATAAAAAAGTGGGGTCCCTATGTAGAAGATGCCATGAACATGTCACTAAGGATTAAATTAATATGGTTCAAGTACATGCGCTAAAGATTGATTACTAATATATTAGTATAAATATATATATATATATAAATGTTCATATATTTTATTTATGATTAACACACGTTTCTTCATAATTTCACACAGTTCTACATTTTCTTTATTCTCAAATAATTGCTACGCCAATAAAAAATAAAGCGATTAGTCCTCTGCTGATCAATAACTTCTTCTGTTTTTCTTTTTCTTTTTTAATTAGGTGATGCCAATTAGTAGAGTGATAGCCTTCAAAATGTAATTTTATTATGATTTGGAAATTACAAATTTAAAACGAGAAAATAGTCTTTCAGCATGCGAAAGTAAAATTTTATACATTTAACTTTCTTAAAATTGTATAGTGATGAAATTCTAGTGAGCATAATATAATTGTAATATTCGAAATTAAGCAAAATAACAAATTCAGTTTTCCTGCTAATAATCAATACGTGATAGGATCAAGAGATTTTTTGTGTATTGTCATTTTTAGTTAGATAAGAAGACACAAATACTTATTATGGGATTCGAATGCGTCTCAAAGAGGATAACGCAATGAAACGCTGGCCAATAGCCGATGTGAGACGGTGTGTGTCTATTTGTTGATATGGTACCAATTTTTTTTTTTTTGGTTCCTAATAGTTGTAGGATTATATGCATATGTGTTGTTGCAATCGTAGCAGTGATGAGTCATTCATGCTATTTGAATTTTTTCGGTTTTGATTTCAAACTGTGGCTCTCTTATTCATGCAGAGACATTCATAGATGGACTCATGAGTACTGAATATTAAGAATTTATGGGACCAAAAAAAGAAAAAGAAAAAAGAATTAATAATCCAATATTGTCCTTTATTAGTTGTGTTTCATGGGTGGTACCACATGCACGCAGAGGACAAAGACTCGGATAATTGTCACATAATTAGTTGGAAAGAAAAATTGGAATATTATTGATCAATGTATAAATAACGAGAAAATGAATCAAAAATCGATATTGTCTCAATAAATCACTACAAAATAAAAAGAAAAATCTAATCATTAGAATAATATAAGTATCAAAAATCAGTTAATATATTCATGTACTCCTCCTAGTTGAGAATTAATGCAGATTGCACCTTCTTTTAGATTTGAATCCCTTTTTCCTTTTATTGTTGGTTGGTGTTGAGGTAGAGACCGTAGAGGGCAAGCAAGATCGATGGTACTCATAGCCACAGGGTTCCAAGTTTCACACCACACTTAGTTGTCTTTATATACTGTCGTCCTTATATGAGCTAAATACTCTTCGCAATATTTAAAACTACTTTGTTGCTTTCCTTTCTTGTCTTTTTATTATTACTCTGTATCGTTAGGTTTGTAGTGGATTTTGTGCAAAAATAAGAACAAAGTTGTCTTTTTTTTATGTTTTTAACGGAGACAATGACATAAAAGTAAAAATGAACCCTAGTAATACTTATTTTTGAAATTTGAAAGTAATATTTGACTAAATTTAAGGAAGTATCAATAAAATTAACCTTTTATTTAAATTTTAAAAATAAAAAATAAAAAAAACAAAAACAAAATAAAACAAAACGGAGCAGGATATTTTTGTAGACTTTGTAATTGAATATTCTTTACAGTTTTGCTTTATTTCTTTACTAACATAGAAACCGATGAAGAGTTGCACAATGTGGAAGGTTTAAAACACATTTTTGTTGAAGTTTTGTTTTGTCCAAAAAGTTGATAGAAAGTTAACGTCCTCTAAAATTATCATCAAATCAAATATTTAAAGATTTTACTGGCATGTGAAGTGTGACCCACCAGTATTGCTGGTCCAGTCAAATTAATGTACCATTCATAAATTTTACTTACAAGTTGACTTCATAATTTGACGCACATTGCTTGTTTTCACCCATAATTAAATCAACCCAGACACCAAGTCTTCGTCTTCGTCTTCGAAACGTCCTGTTCTTATCATTAAATATCATTATTTAATTTCTGATGCATACCTTTACGGTTGTTCAACATTTAAAAAATATATTTAATTGTCAACATCTCTTAACTACTACGTCTTTCAATTTTCTTGTTTAAAGCAAGCGTTCATATATTATGTACTATATTAGGTGTGAAGTGTGAACGCCTTTACTATTATCTTTCATTTCATTAATGAAGGTGCAAACATCACTGACAGCTAAGAGCCCGTCCCAAATTATTAATGGGGAGAACTAATTTTTTTTAAGATGCTCAAGCTCGTCAAAACTCACCCTATATCCGTTCTGGACAAGGATGACAATTTTTTTCGACCCGATGAGTTTTCGTCGAGCCCTCATTCCTGATGGGATGAATTTAGTAGCCCTTAAATAAATTTGAGACAGGTTTGATAAAATAATTAAAAATTTGAAGTGAATTTGGGATGGGAACGGGTTTAATGATGACCTCGCGCCTCGATTATATATATATATCTTTTAATTTTTTTTTTTTATATTTTTAATAGTCTTGTTACTTTACTAGAAGTGTCTCTTAATATATTAATATTCAATGCTGAGTAATTTAAAAGTTGAACCAGCTTATTTATCAACCCAATTTGAACATATTGGATTAGTTTTTTTTTAATACATAATAAAAGTGACATAACCTGACCCACCCCTGTCACACTCCACAATTAAACAGAGTACATGAGGCAGAGTCGATATTTTGTCTATCGGAGTAGAAGTGGAGATGGTATAACAATTATAAACCCGTTCCGAAATAAGGACGAAATTGGTATGATAAACTTTCTAACGAGGAGGAGTAGGATTTAGCCAAACCCGTTCCAACTCCGCCCCATTACCAGCCCTAGCCCTAGCCCTCGACCACTTCCCCTGTAACTAAGTCTGAAGAGAAAATAATGTCAAACCATATCTTTGAAAGTTTTCACACTCTATCTTAATTCTTTTATGAACATAAGTAGTCTGACTTTTTTTATATTATAATTACCATTAAGGATGACACTCGCACTCTATTTTTTTTTTTTTTAATTGTAATTTACTTTTTCTTTTCTTTTTAAAAAAATGATAAGAAGATTTTGTCCCAAAATACATATTCTGATCCAAAATTCAACTTTTTATAGTAGTAAAATTTTAATAGTTTTTTTATTATATTGATAAGCGTAAAGTTTTAAATATGCTATTATTAAAAGAAAAATAGTGTTCCTAATTAGTGCACTTGCTTAGTTAAAATGATACTTTGTAAATGTTATAAAAGATATATGTATATTTAATTTTGGAATGTGACATATTTTTCGAAATATTCCAAAATAAAAAAATGTCCAAATATTTTGGGACGAAGAAATACCATATTTACTCTTTTTATTTTAAACTTTGAACTTTAATTTTTTTTTAATATGTATATATTTTTTTAGATATACTTAGATCCTCATTAGTGAAAATGTACACCATTATGATTATTGATTTGGACCAATAACACATAAGTACGTCATTTTTAATTACCAAATAAAAAATGGTGTATATATATTCACTTATCAAATCAGATATTGTGGTGATTTGGTAATTAATAGAGGACGTGCTCATTTATTATTGGCTCATATCACCAGTCAAAATGATATACATCCTCATTAGTATTCTTCTTCTTCTTCTTTCTTTCTTTCTTTCTTCTCCTTCTTCTTCTTCTTCTTCTTCTTCTTCTGTTTTTTTTTTTTTTGTAAGCCCCAACAAAACAATATGAATGATCATTACAAGGTTTGAAAGGGTTGAAGAAGCAAAGAATACATTTTCAAACTTGTTGACTTTAACCATCTTACAACAGTGTGATGGAAGAAAAAAGTTAACGGGCAAATGATATTACTGCGTGTCCAAATAGAATTATTGCAATATAATTTTCAAATCATAAATAGTTTGTTTGTGAAGGAAAAAAAAAAAAAAAAAAAAGAACAGTAATTACTTACATGTAACACTTATTTTGTTAGATATAGTTAAATAAATTTCCTTTTATTCCTTTTTTTTTTAAAAAAAAAAAAACAATATTGTTATTGAGGAACCCACTCAATAATTGGACCTTAGCATTTCATTTCATCAACTACTTCCCCCAAGTCTGGAGAGAGAATAATTTCAAAAGTTTTCACGTCCCCATCTGAATTAACTTGTCTGACTTTTTACACTTATTTTGTTAGATATAGTTAAATAAATTTCCTTTTATTCCTTTTTTTTTAAAAAAAAAAAAACAATATTCTTATTGAGGAACCCACTCAATAATTGAATCTTAGCATTGCAATTCATCAACAACTTCCCCCAAATCTGGAGAGAAAATAATATCAAAAGTTTTCACGTCCCCATCTTAATTAACTTGTCTGACTTTTTATAATTATAATTATTAATATAGAGGTGATATTCACACTCTATTGTACTTCACTTTTTTTTCTTTTTCTTTTAATAACAAAAAGGCCTCTATACTCATTAATGTATCATTTCTTATTTTATAATATCATATTTACGCTTTTTACTTTAGACTTTAACCTATTTTTAATACCTTCTTTACTTTCTCTAATATATATCTATTTACCCTATAAAAGTGTATTCTATTTGTATTTTTTATATACACTTTTTTGTAATAATAATATATACTTTTCAAATAACTACTAACACCTTTACTAAAAGTCATCTTTTATTATTTATATACAATTAAATTATTAAATTTATTTTAATAAATAAATATGACTTTTCAAATAACTATTAACACATCTTCTAAAAGTCACCTTTTAACTATACTTTGTATTTTTTATACACACTTTTTTTGTAATAATAATATATATTTTTCAAATAACTACTAACACCTCTTTTAAAAGTCACCATTTCATTATTTATATACAATTAAATCATTTAATTT